TACACGTTGCTCTCTTTCTCTCTCTCTCTCCCTCTCTCTCTCTCTCTCTCTCTCTCTCTCTCTCTCTCTCTCTCTCTCTCTATCTGTATCCGATCGTAATTCCGCTTTATTCGACTTTGCTCGAAAGTCGAACATTTCGAGCATTTTGATATTACGAAAGTCGATATTTTTAATTATTAATTGACGGACACTGTCAATTGCACTTGTTTATGATACCTATGCATTTATACAATCGTCACGATGGGTTCATCGATAATTAAAAGCAAGCGTTACTCATCGGGGACGTCGATGATGCGTAAGTATATGTACAAACATATCAATGCGGTGATGATGACCTCGCGTGTCGTGAATTACCCGAACGCGTAAATTAGTATTAATTCTCTGGTGCGTATTAAAAAAGGTAAGCGACTTTATATATGATTTTTGAATCGAATGGTTTCGTACCGTCGGAGAACTGTTTTCTCTCTATCAGACGTCTACGTAACAAGAACCTCCTCAGGTTGGGCGACTCAAACTTTGTTCTTTTCCGTCTCAAATCTGCAAGGGTGCGTGATGTTACGTTCAAACGTGTCATTGTTGTTGTTGTGGTTGTTGTTGTTCCAGCTGTTGTACGAGCCATTGTATTGTTTTACAGATAGCTAGAAAACAACGGTTCTGAGCGCTAAGAGCGCTCAATTGCAACGCAAGTGCAATTCGTTTCTTGTGTTTCTATGTGTATGGTACTGCGTACGTATACACATACGATATGTTTCATTCAATTACCGTTTCAATTATAAATTCGTTATTTCGCTCGTATCCGCGAGAATTTCGTTCTCGACCGAACGAAATTCCATCGACGCTCGACTGGCAAAAGCGATCGTTCTCATTTTTTTCCAGCGAACGACCGCGAGCAACGTCTGTCTATTATTCGCGGATGGCATATCAGTTTTTAATGGGACTGATACGACAAACCGGTCTCTCGCTCCTTCGATTGTATTGCAACGTTAAAAAAAAAAAAAAAAGAACTAAAACGCCGTTAAAGCGTAAAAGCTACGATTATCGTCGATAGGAAAGTATAAAAAGGAATAGAGGATAAAAGAGGGGAAAAAAAAACGCAAATGAAACAAAGAACGAACGCGTTAGGAAAAAAAACAAAAAAAAAAAAGAAAAGGAAAAAGAAAAGATAAGGGGGCCGCGTGAGACAAGAACTTATCGCTCCTCCGTTTGTTTCACGTAGATGAAGAAGGCCATGTACAGGCTGGGCAGAAAGGTAAAGAGAATCATATTTTTGAAAAACGACAGGAGAAAGTCGAAGATTTTGAACGTGGATCGATCGTCGATCGCCGAATTCGATTTACGAACGTAAACGGTGGACAAAGTGATTTGATAGCGATCGATGACCGTCATTCGATCATCGTCGTCGTCGATGCAACACGAGGACCTTGAGGAGGGCCGTGTTTCACCGAATCCCAATTGGTTCTCTTCGTTTCGACACTTTTCGTTTCGTAAATTCGCACGTATCGCCTGTTCGATCGTTTCGTCCTGTGGATAACGATGACTCTCCTCCTCCTCCTTCTCCTCCTGTCCGCGCGTCGTCCAACACCGCCGCGGTGTTCCGCTGAATCGCGATCCGTCGTGTTTGAAAAGGTTCGCGGCTGACCGACGATCGGGCCAACGTTTCACGTTCTCGTTGCTCTCGCTGCTCTCGTCGTCCAAGTTGAACTTATCGTGGGAAAACAGTTTCGTCTTCTTTGCTGTTTTCTCGTCGTCGGATGCGTTCAGGTTGTAATTATAATTCGAGTCGTTGATCTCGTCGGGACGACGTGCCTTGGCATCGTTTGTTTTCTCACAGAAAGACGAAGAATGCCTTCTCACTTGACCACGATTGAAAGTGCCGGACCAATGATATTTCTGTACACCCTTTCTCCCAGCGATAGATCGTTTGGATCGTTGCGCGCTACTGCGGTTCACTGTCCGAGGCGAGTTTTCATTCGCAGACAAACCGCTCTTCTTCGGTACATTTTCGACGCACGATACCCACGTGTTCGCCGCGACGCGCGTCCCTTCAATAACGTTTAACGATTCGTAATCGCTGTCGCACGAACTGACGTCATTTTTATATTCGACCTCGTCCATCCATGGAGATTTTAACGAGCTCTTTGTCGACGTATGAATGACTCTATTTAGGTTGGACCACGAGTCAGCATCGGAGGAGACGTAGCTATCGTCGTTTACTGGCGCGGCCATCATTGTTGTCGTCGTTGACATTGCCGTCGTCGGTGTCCTCTCATCCTCTATGTCCGGTTCTAACGGACAGCTTGCCTTTCCCTTATCTTTACCGTGTGAATCTGTCGCAAAATTCCACACAATAACGCTTGGTGCCCCACTTGGTTCTCGCTCTTCGTTTCACCGTTATTGGGGGGTATATCTGTCGCGGGGTCCCGGAGTGACATTGTCCGATCGATAACCGAGAGGTACGAACGAGAGACCGAAAACGAGACTACGACAGAACTTGTAGAACGTACAGTTCTAAACAGACGGACGCGACGAGGCGAACAGGCATGCGTTATCGTGTCATCGAAAAAGTTCGGTAAGAAATTCGGAAAATTAAAAAGGAGAGAAGAGAAAAAAGAGTAAAACCAAAAAAAAAAAAAAAAAAAAAAAAAAAAAAAAAAAAAAAAAAAAAAAAAAAAAAAAAAAAANTTTTTTTTTTTTTTTTTTTTTTTTTTTTTTTTTTTTTTTTTACGATAATGAAACGAGGAAAAATTCGTTTTTCCTGTACCAATTACGTTATTCGTGGATTATGTTAATATGTGGATTTTCGAATAACAATTAAACAACAGAAAATGTCCAATGTCGAATAAAATAATTCTAAACGAATGCAATAAATTTTTACTGTGGGATTTCGTTGTTAAATCACAATTTTTTTGTCCCTTGGAAACGACCGCAACATTGCGCTCTTGCAGAATCACAGTTGAGCGTTAAGAAAGAAGATTGTACGTTTTATTTCTCAGGTCAACAACACGTTTTGCTTCCTTATCTCGGATGAATATTAACATCGTGGCGGTTACAGCGGTGAAATTGCACGCGAGCCGAAGAACTCCTGCGATTCGCGAATGTTGACACCGACGGCGATGTCGTTTGTTTTTACTACTTCCACGGACAATAAACATAATCGTTTTCGTAACTATCAAGCGGAGCAGAGTTCCGAAAAGATACGCCAGGAAACGTGGTGAAATTCTCTAAGAATGCTTTCAAAGTAAAACGATGCAAAAAGGAAAAAAAAAAAAAAAAAAATAAAATAAAATAAAATAAAAGTTTTCCAACGAGTAGGAAATAAAAAATTACTATGCTCCCCACAAAAAAAAGACAATATTCTTAAATCTTCATTTTTAAACAGATTCGTTTACACAATCCTTTATGCTTCAATAAGAAAGAATGAAATCGTGAACGAAATCACAATAATCTCAAATATCACGTTCCCAACATCTTCAACAGACAACGGAAATACCATAGCGAATCGAAGTAAGTTACGACGAAGTAAGCACGCCAGAATCTCAGATGTCGACGTCCTAAGTAGGAGAAGTAAAAAGAGAAGACGGTAGGATGAAAAACCTAGCTACCTTGGGGGAGGGAAAGCCGCCGAAAACCCGGTCATTAATTGTCTTAGACGTTTAAGCGATGTAAACAGCGGAGGCCGCGAAAGGGAAAGCCCCCGGGTGAAAGCGTGGCCAAAAGTACAGCGACCGCAGCCGACACTTTTTCCGGTTCGCGGGGCCGCCGTATCTCGGCAGTTTTCACGATTTTGCAGAGACTGTACCACGGGGGTAACCCTTCAAGTATAAACCACCCCCTACGGTAGCCATGGCGACGCGGACGTGGTATTCCTACCCGGCAACTCGTCCCCTTCCTGTGGACCTCCACCTCCTCCTCGGTACGCGCGCCCCCGTCGCCCGCCACCACCGACACCCGGACCGCCACCCTAAAAACAAGAGTGTAGTTGCCGGATCACGTGGTGCTGCCGCTCTCCAGGGTGGGAGGTCGAAGGGAAGTGAGGATAGAGCCAGAATAGGATAGAAGGGGTAGTTCCTAATTGCACCGGCTGGGTGGGACACTAGAGGGGCTCCAGAATTGATGCTGGAATTTTGAGGTTAGGTTAACTCGCTCTCGCTCCCTCTCGATTCCTCTTTATCTGTCCATCTCTTTCCCTCTTTCTCTTTCTCTCCCTCTATCTTTCTCTTTCCCTCCGTTGTTTCCTCTTTCTCGCCCTATTCCTCGCTTTACCTCCGTTCTCTCTCTCTCTCTCTCTCTCTCTCTCTCTCTCTCTCTCTCTCTCTCTCTCTCTCTGTCTCTTTTTCTCTTTCTCTCTCTCGGACTTCGTCTCAAATACGGGATATATTCTGGTTCCTCGCTTCGATCGTTCCTCCTCTTCCTTCCTACGGTTCTTCGTTATCTCCGTCTCCTTCTCTAATACGCTGCACACCTCCGCGATCTTCCCCTCTCTGCCTCCTCCTCTCTTTTACTCGATCCTTGGCATATCCATTCTCCCGGCTGATTTTCTCCCTCGAGTGAACCCAGAGAACCTGTCAGAGTTTGGTCCCCTAGACTGAAAAATGCTGTGGTATACCCGGTCCGTTTCCAGAGGGGGTCGGTCCTTTTCGAAATCCTCCAGGAAACTGTAATGAGAAGCTTGCAGGCCGATTTTCCTCGCCGGCTCGCTGGTCACGATCGTTGCCCGCGCCAAGTCGGTTGGCGAGAATCCTTCGTTCCGAGGGACGGTCCTCGCCGTGAAGGACTCGTCGATAATTCCATTGCGACATCGAGCGTTGTACGTGCTTGTCGCCCGCTGCGAACCCGTAGAGTTTTTTTTCTTTTTTTTTTTTCAACCTGACGGTTGGCGGAAGAAGACTGAAAAATGTACGGTGGCAGCGCGGCGAGAAAAAACAATGGGGTCGTTTGTGTTCAACGGCTGAAACGAAGAGCCGAAGAGAAGCTCGACGTCCCGCTCGAGGCAGAGACTTCAATAGGCTTCAATTTTTTTTCAAGTGTCTTCAAGCATGCGCGATCTCGGCGACCGTTTATTTCTCCTTTGTTCGTTTGTCTCCGCGAATGGGGGAAAAAAAAAAAATAAACAAATGAATGAATGAAAAATGAGCACGTCGTTTGTTGGACGACCAGGCGATTCGCGTTATAACGTTGAAAACGTTTATAAAATGGAAAATAATCGCAAGACAAAAGGAATGGTACAGGTCCTATGGCGTTTCTTCTTCCTCATTTAAATTCCCTCCGGCGTGCGTCCGCGGAAAAAAGTTGAAATCCCGCGGGCCGCCTAAAAATGGCGGAGTTTTTCAAATTTTATGAATTTTACAATTTTTTCCTTCTTTTTTCCCCACTTTTTTCGCAATCTTGCGATTTTTCTAGATTTTTAAAAAAAAGAAAATTTTTTGAATTTTTTTTTTTCCTCTTGGCGAAACGAGGGCCTCAGAGATTCCTGGGCTCCGCCCTGAAAGTCGACGCCGAACGAGTCCCTCTTCGGCCGCTAGCCGACGAAGAGGGTAGTTCGCGTTCGTGGCGCAGCGGAGAGGATGGCCGCCGGACACAACCCTCCGATCAATGAAGGCGAAGCGCGCGCAGCCCCTCCGGTTTTTTGAAAATCTGCCCGCCAACGTGGCACTGCCCCTTGCTCCCTCCCTCTCTAACACCGCGTCTACACCTGAACCGCATACCAAGATAGGGAAACGATGTTCTACGTATACACCATTTTGCTCTGGATTCGTTCGATCCAGCCCCAGCAACGCCATTTTCCACGAATCGATGTATCCCCGGCGAATTTCCAACCGGGATTTGTACCATACATGAGAGATACCTGCGAAATTTTCAAAAAAAAAAAAAAAAAAAAAAAAAAAAGAAAAAAATAGAAAAAAAACGAAAAATTAGAATAAAAAGCAGAAAATATCAGACCGCTTAAAAAACAAAGAGGAAGGATTGAGCGCGTACGCATGCAAAAACAAAGAGAAGTATTTGCATGTCGGGACATGAGTCGAGTTAAAATTGAAAACTTCTGGAAATAGAAACGACACGGGGAAACAAGAAACGTTATTTTTGGTTTTGTACGCGTGCGTAGATGCGTGCGTACATGCGTGCGTGCGTGCGTGCGTGCATTTGCGAGTGTGTTGTGTCTGTGTGTGTGCGCGCGCGCGTACAGGAGAGCGAAGGTACGCTCGTATATATCGGAATCAACTGACAAACACAGAATCACCGTCTTACCTTCTTGGTCGTAGTCTACTTCGTGAGTCGTACTGAACACATTGCGCGCACCATCCAGGAATCTATTCGTGTGGTCCATAACCATCTTGTGCGTGTCTAGGACTTCCTCCTCCAGCATTTGCAACGCGGATACCGCTTCGTGGAACGTGTAAAGATCTTGCGAAATTTCACCTTCCTATTAAATTAAAAACTATCATGAGAAAAGACGTGTCCGACGTTTTGAAGGTTATAAGCGCGTTATTTACATTATTTACGTCGTATGAACGAAATTATTATTTTCCGGCTTACGTTTAGAGACCGGAGCTGTGCCAAATCGCTATCCGATAGCACGCTGTTGTTCGACTGCTCTTCGATTTTTAATTCCCGTTCGTCGTCCGTCGGAGAAGCTTTCATTTCTGTTGGATCGGTCGCGGCCAACTCCTTCACTCGATCCGCGTATCTGAGTGTGTTCAACGAATGTTCGCAGGAACTCATTCCGGGACTAATCATAGCTATCTGCGAACAGGAAAAAAAAACAGCAACATTTAAATCGTTTAAATTGATCAACGACGCGAGAAACGAGAGAAACGTAAATTCATTACCATGCAAGTTTTTGACTTTTCACCGATGAAGCTGTCCCTTAATACTTGCGTCAACTTGCTAGCTCTGAATGGTAAATGTGTGCCTTTGCGGCTCAATGCACGGATACATTCTTTCAATGCCAATAATGATTTGTTAATCTCGGCACCCTCCATACCTGCGAACGATAAGTCGATCTTTGATTCAACTTTCAATTTTCTGCGAATGAGCAGTTAGTTCAACTCTATTTTTTGAATTTTTTTCAAATTTTAGTGCCAAAGCACTCGATCGGCTTTTTATATTTAAAATAAATTTAGATTAGGCCTTAATACCACCATTGAACGATAGAAATCTTTTTAGACATGCAATAACAAATAATGTATTTCATAAGCTATTGTGATTATTTCAACATACGATTTTATGCATTTTGCATGTCATTAGATAAAACCTCTAATAATTTTTTAGAAAAGAATGTATGCCATTTCATCAATTTCTCTATTTTTTGTTTTATAGAAATAATCGATTTGGAAAATGAGTGGCTCAAGTATATCGCTGAACAGTGAGTAACTTACGAGTTTGTCTGTTGGCAGAAGAGGTGTCCGCTCCTCTCTCGTTACCGGCAAGATCGATCAGAGAGAATTTTCCGTGAACCTTGTGCGTGCCTGGTGTCCGTGCTATGATTTGAAAAACGGCGTGCGATCGCGACGAGTTGGAATTTGCACTAGTCTGGCCACTAGTTCTGGCACTGTTCCCGTGCTGTATCAGCTTCAAAACTTCGTCGCAGGTCTCCACCACTTTCTCCGTTAATCCGACTATTTGCACCTACGGAACAGAAAGGAATTAGAAAGAAGAAATAAATGTATATAGGATGTTTAAAAAGGATAGACTATCCCACGCCTTTCATGTAACAGGTTTCTTAAAATCTTAAAATATCATCTAAATCAATACAAACAGGTTAATACTTTTTATATGGAATGCCCTAAAATCTATTAAAAAAAAAAAAATCTTTCACACTACCAAGAAATAATTTACATCATACAATATCCCTAATTCTTCTTGAAAAATTTTTTTTGCCGATTTTAATTCCTCATTAGATACTCTACTGTTTTCAATTAAACGAAACACGCTGTATATGCATACCTGTTGCTTGCCATCCTCTAAAACACGAAGCTTCTCCTTGTCCGCCAACAGATCGAATACCTTGCCCGAGTAGATCTCGAAAAAGCTCGCGGAAATGATCAGATTCAACGGGCGATACTTGGCAAGTTTGAGGCATTTGAACACATCCTTGGCTACCATCGCGTAAATTCCTTTTTTGCAGTCCTGTGTCTTTCCATTAAAATCACCGCCCATAGTATGCGTTTTTCCGCTTCCTGTTTGGCCGTAAGCGAAACACGTGGCCATGCCACCTTCAAATATAGTTTGCACCAGTGGCTTAGCCGTATACTTGTAGACGATCTCGTTGTTGCACGTTTCGTCGAACGCATAGTCGAACCGAAAGATTTGATTCTCCAAGTATTTGGTTAGATCGACTTTGGCTTTCGGCTCATGAACCACCATCTGATCTTTACTAGGCACGCTGATCACGTCCACCTCTTTGCGTGCAATCTCCTTCTTGTTCAGCGGACGCTTTCTCACGCACACCGTAATCTGATGATCCTCCACGGCATCTGTCTCTCGAAGAGGTCTAAACTCGATGCTGCTCTGGTATTCTCTGTGGATAGAGAAATGTCAATGTATATGTGAAAAAGGAAAAGAGAATCGAGGACAGCGAGGGACTAGATAATTGAATGTAATTTGATTTGTTCAGATAAAGGAGGAAAAACCGTTAAACTCTTTCAAAAAAAAATACAGATAACACATTAATGTATATTATCATGGATATATATATATATATATATATATATATATATATATATATATATAAAACTATTCAAGATGATAAGAGGAAATAAGAAGAAAATAAGAATTATAGCAGTAGAAATGTTACAGTGCTAATAATAGGAAGAAAAGAATAAAATATACTACTGTCTATACTCTGTACTCTATACACTGATACATGTTTGACATATTTTTAGTTAAATTGAAGAGTTTGAACAAAATTTAATTACAAATTTTGGTAGTTGACTGAATATCAATTATGACAGAGGAGCAATTGAAAGAATGTTTCAACTGGAGCTTTCAAAGTATGTGTTTGGATTTTTAAAAGTTTTGTATTATAAAACAAAAAAAAAAAAAAAAAAAAGAGACATGATGGAGCAGTATACATACACAGTCTGAAAGGACTGTAATAAAAACAAAGATATAGAAATTACAAACTATTAATGTGTATATCTACAATACTACACGGAATGCATGTATTTAATAATTAATAAAATTCATTATTAAATCATTCTAATTATTATTAAATTCAGACTCTTCAATGTTATTAAAAACTCGTAAGATTTAAGATTGAAGAAAAACCTTTGTAAGATTTGAGAAAATTGTAAATGGTCCTAGTTCAATACAGGCCAAGTACTTTAGTAATTGTAGAGAATCAAAAGTCAACTTGATTATAACACTATTACCTAGAAGTGAGTGTTAATACAAAAAAAAAAAAGACTACTGGCTACTGCTGACCTTATCATAGCGAGGAATTCCCAATTCGGATTACCAGGATCCAAGTTCATCAGAGCTTCCTTCTCCTCTTTCAACTCGGCCTGCCTCTGTCTTCTTTCCTCGCGGTTCTTCTTCAACCTCTCGACCTCTTTCACAACGTTCGACCGCCTTGCTCGTCCGTTTTCTATCTGCACCTGCTGTTGCTGTTGCTGCTGTTGCTGAGACTGTAGCTGTTGTTGCTTTTGCTTGGCCTGCGTCGCGGTGACGTTGCAGGAAGCAGCGGTTGTTGGTGTCGGTGGAATGTTCTCCATCTCCCGTCGGCCTGTCAACCCGGTGGAATCACCGTGGCCATTCACGGTGTTGCTGGGTGGCATTATATTCGTCGGCCGACCCGACTGTCGTGACATTTGCCTGTTGGAACCCGCTGCAAAGTACACATCATTCGCGAGACTCGACCAAGAATCCAAGGGTAGAATCGAACGAACGTGGTGGTGCCGACACGGCCGAGAACAATTCACGCGTATCAAAGGAATCGCGTTACCGTGGTTACCGTGTGGTTGCGAGACTTGCTGCTCCGAATTGTCTCGAACCTCGAATTCCACCGTCGTTCCATCTTCGGTACCATTGATCCTATTCTTCCTCCCGAAACAGAAGCCTAACGGATCGAACCTCATGGCGATGATCGCGGCGAATGTGCGACGAGTTACGGTCGAAATTTCGCGAAATTAGAACGTAGAACCGATACAAAGAGAGAAAAGAAGAGAAAAGAAGGAAAAAAGGCGTGTGTGTGCGTGAATGGGGAAGGAGGCAGAGAGAGAGAGAGAGAGAGAGAAAGTAGAGGAGAGTGTGTGTACAAGGATAGAAGAGAAACGTGGGCTCGAATCGCGCGGCGCGATTATATACTCTGTCGGTTTAGCACGTTGCGCATCGTCTATCGAGGTCCTTGCCCTTGCGTGCCTTTGCATACGGCGCAAGAGCGTCGATAGTTTGGAGCGTGAACACCGCCGTATCGCCGCCGTTCGTTGCCGCTGGTGGTGCTTCTCTCACACGGCGCTGACACCGGCGCTCGTACCGCTACATCACGCGTGTTTCATTCGCTATCGCTTGGAAAATCGATTCGTTCGCCGGTTCGAGACCACGATGGAGTAAGCACGCCGCTGGACGACAATTCCGATACGCGACGAGACTCGCGTGGCGCTCGAACGTTACTTTGATCGTTACCGTTTCGTCCAAGTTAAACCTTTGCGATTTCAATTCGATCGATTTGCCAAGTTTGACATTGCGACAGCGTGACGCTTCGACTGGTTTTTTTTTTTCGTGCAAACAACAGTACACGACGTACAGCGTTTGCTCGCGCACGACATACCTTTTACTGGGATCGATGGCTTGATCGAATGCTGAAAAAAAAAAAAAAACAGAAAACATATCGTAAAGTCGTCGAAGAAAATTCCAATATATGATAATCGAACAACAGTAACAAGTTTCGTGTTTTGTTAATCCAGTGGTGATCGAAAAATAACTGACGACGAGAAAGATGAATAAATAACTAAACGGGGAAAATGAAAGGAAATGGCAAATGAAGTAAAACAAGTTGGTCGAGCGATATTAGATACGACACGTTATCTGAAAAGCACGTTCGCCGAGTGGAAAATCAACGAGTCGAAATCGATACAAAGCGTATATATCGTTTGTTTCGTCGTGTACGGCGGGGAGGTTGGGAGTCGATGTCTCGTGAGACGCGTGAAAAGAAAGGGAACGTAAATCGAACAACGTGATAGAAAAGAAAGTGACATGAGACGGCGCAACTTCGATCGAACGAAAATGCACGTGGAACTAGGTATTGCGAGCGATGAACGTGAAAAAATGAGGAAGCGTGCGTGGAGCGGTGGTGACGACGAATCTTTTGCAATCGAGCTCTCTGGCGAGATACCGGTGTGAGAGAAAAGAAACAGGCAAAATAACGTGGGGGAAAAAATCGCTATCTGGCGTGTGATCGTTGACGACAGAGGCGGTGTCGTGGTGTGTGACGATCGATCCTCGAAACGTAGCAAAATGGCACAGAAAAAGAGAGAAAGAGAGAGATGGAAATGGAAAAGGATGAAACGCAAAAATGGTGCGTGTACGTGTGAGTGCGTAGCGTATGTTTCAAGGAGGGTTGGGATGGGAGAGAAGAGTAGCGTGGGTTTCGCGCGTTTACCGAAAGAGCAGTAACGACTCGTACAGGAAGCGTTGCGGATGCAAGGCCGTTTCTTGCGGCGTGACCGCCGTGCCGTCCGAGAGAGCCCTCCTCTTGGGTTTCTGTCTCGTCCACCCCCTCGTCCTCTTCGCCCGAAGACTCCTGTGTTTCGTCATTCGAATTGCGATGGCACACGCGACTCTCGATTCGGACGCAGATTTACCGAGATACGATACAAACGCGGCGCTATTGCAAAGGGGAGGGGATGGCGGAGGATCGACGAGAAGAGGTGGTTGCCGATAGAGATTGCAGAGACGCGGGACGATGAGACGACGATGCGAGGTCGTATTGGGATTCGATCGGTTTCGGACCGGGGAGAGACCGGAGATCGGTGATGATCCATCGCAGAGACCCAAATCCGTGATAATGAGCAGCGTCCATGGAGGAAAAAAAGATGCAATCGTGTTAGTAGCAGGAACGACGAGAAGCAAACGTTGAATCGTAGTTCGCTCGCTCGATATCGGTGCCAAAAAAACTACGACGACAACGTTTTCTCTCACCCGAAAGAACGAACGCGGATGAGAGGTTGGCATGGAAAGACTACGTACACGGAAATTCAAGAAGTTGGTTGATCGCACGCATTCTGCGTAGAGAGATTTTAAATTAGACAGAAGTGTCTGAACGTCGAAGCTCCACCGTGTGGACTTGACACGAATGGGAATGAACAGTTCGCGAAAGATCGAAGGGCACAATCACGATCGATCTCGTGAACGTACGAACGCGCGTTACTGTGTTTCAGATGACTTTGTCGGGCATTTTTCTTTCACCTATAGTTTCGTCCACAGTTGCGTGCTGATCGAAGGATAAAAAGGGACTCTGAACGATCCAACGATCGCACGATACGTACCCTTGCTCTAGCGGATATCACCACGTGATGATTGTTCACTTGCGCAGGTGGCTCTATGGTTTTCTGACTCGTCAAGTCAGGATTCAAGGCGACGATCGCATCCATCTCCACCTAAAAACAAAAAAAAAAAAGAAAAGAAAAAACGAACAGAGATGTCAGAGGTGTTGCGAAATGTACACATGTCGTTCCCGTAAAAATACCTCTTTCCCCTTGGTCTCTCCTCTTTCGAACCATTCTACGGTGACGGTACGATGCTCCCAATCGATCCCGGAAACCACCGCCGAGTGGACACGACCTGAAAACAGACATGCATTCGGCGTAGTTTGTCGCTAAATCGACGATCTTGCGAGAAGAGAAGCGATCATAGAGAGTACGAAAAGGCAAACGGATGGATTGGATCAGGTTCCAAGCATCGATGGCGTATAAAACATGGTTCTCTCCTGTCTCGTTCTTACACGTAAACTTTAAAATCCGAATTATTGCACATGGTTACCAGATCGCGCAAAGCGATGATATTTTTTACTTCTCGATTCGAGAATAGCTATCAATGGTGAACGCGTCGATCCGCGGATTCGCGGGGAACATGTTCGTGGATGACGTAAGAACGGATAAAAGGTAAGGTTTGGCGAGGTAAGAATCTCGCGACAGGGATCCATATAAGGATGCAGCGCCCACGTGCACGCGACTCGCCCCGTCGTCGTGACTCGACCACGCGTCGTTCTACACACGCTTTCGATTTCGATTCTGAATTTCGGGCAAGGCCTGCGACGCCGGTGATGCTTCGTCGGCGAGGCTGGTCGACTCGCGCGACGTATGCTCGTACGTACACGCGTAGGATGGCCACTTGTTGCGTCGCGTCGCATCGCCGTGCCGTGCCGTGCCGTGCCGTGCGTCGAGAGTTGCGTTTCAGCCGCGAACGCATCGTGTACACGCGTACACCTACACCAGTACACGTGTGCACTATTCCTAGAAGAGTCTGGCATGCCATTTAGGAAGCGTGAAAGACGCCTCTAACGACTTCTAACGATTCGCAAACGAGCCGTAACGCGGGTTACCTCTGGAATAGTCGTTATCGGTTATTGGAGATTACACGGAGATTCGTTTTGGCAATCAGCTTCGAATCGCGGCGAATCGGAGATCGAAGGTTCCGGTCGCTCGTAGCCAGTACGCGTGTTTCTATTTATATGGACGGGTGCAGGCTATAAATATTATTGCTACCACGTCTCTGAGATTGGGTCACCACCGATCCGCTTTCTTCCTGCAACCGTGCGGGCGCTTATCCAACAACCGCGCACTGCAGGCTCTCCGCCGGCACGTTTCGATCGTCGTCCGTTCTGTTCTCGATCGCGTGTTCTTCGATCAAACGTAACGAGGCAACGGTCGTTTCTGGCCGGCGCTGCTACGCGGCGAACCAGCTCTCCTTTCTTGGCGAACGCTCTGACTCATTCATCGAGACAGAGAGAGAAAGAGAGACAAACACTGGTTCGCACTTCTTCTTGCGATCCATGAAAACATCGGTTGTGTTCGCTCGAAGGAAGAAAGGATCACACGGTCGCAGGACTTGACTCGAGTCATCGTCGATGACAACTCGACTTGCCAAACGAGAATCGTACTGTGAAAAGAAAAAAAAAAAAAATCTCGCGAAAATTCGCCCGACGATGGCTGCAGGATTACGTGGCATTCAGAGCGCGTAAAAGGAACGCGATTAACGATTCGAAGGAGGTGGCATCTTTCGTTCTGGTCTCGTTGCATTAGGTTACGTCGAGAGAAGACCAGACCCGGCGCGGTGAAAGGATATCCGTTCATCTCTGCCAACGGCAGAATCGGGTAGTATCGAGTCGCCGATCGTTATCGCACGCGAAGGAAATGGACAAGATCGCGAGCGAAAAAAATACCGCGTGACTAACCCCCTTAAATCGAGTCGAGTTTAAAGAAAAGAAAAAAAAAAAAAAAAGGGAGAAAAGAAAACAAATACGGCGCGAAAAGGTCAGCACTCGAAAACTCAAGGGCAAGTACTTGTACAGAGACTCGCATACGTCGCTTTAGTACTCGCCCAGTTCCCTCGACAGTTATCCGCGCGCGTTGCAATGCCCGCCTACGTAACTAGATGTACATGTATATTGAAATAGTTGGCCAACCGGAGGATGGCGACGTAACACACAAGTGCGACGTGCGACGAGCTGCATAGCCCGGCGAGAAGGGTAGATTTGCCTCGATCGCAAACGAGAATTTCGTCCCCGTGGGAATAGTTGATCGCTGTACCAACGTTGCGAATCACGGCGAAGATCGGTGTTTCAACACCGTGCAAGCGTGTGCTGCACGACACGGCGAAAACGATTACACGCAGCGTACGACGATAATGATGAGCAACGATCGAAGTGGTTCTCTGGTGGTTCGTTGGCTTTTCACGGGAACAAACTAGAATGGAAGAATAGACAAAGAGAAACACAAACAGATATCGAAGAGCGTTCCATTTTCCCTGTGTGGGTAACGAAAAAGCACACGCGATCGGTTGTCCGAAAGTGCCTAAAAATACTTTGCCGTGATACGTTACTCACCGTCCGTCCTCCTGATATTTATACTATAGCCGGTCTCGATATTGTATTCCATGGTCATTTAGTCCGTGTTCTCACGCCGTTGCAACGATCGTAAGACGGCCGGTTTTTCACCGGATCGAACCACCACAACGACAACGACGACGACAACGACGTCGACAATGTTGTCGAGACGAAAACGCAGCGATTCTCCGGCAAAAGGGAAGCCTTAGGAGGACCGCGTAGTCCGCCAGACTTCGAAATCCGACCGTTGACAGTTACGGCAGCGTACGCGTTCAAAATCACGCGGCTGTGCTGCGTTCCTCTCCACCGTTCCTCGCCCCACGTATTCTTCCCTTTCCGACACCGTTGCCGCTAGTGCCGCCGCCGATGTTCCTCCTAGCTCTGTCTCGTTCATGCACGGTGTTCGTCGTGTTTTGTCTTCGCTTGCTGCTACGTCCTTCCCTTTTGTCGCAATCTCAACCGCAGTCCCGTAGCCGTTGTCCACCACCTCTTACCGTTGTGTGTATTTTCACGTCAGGGACGTCGCCGACTGTCCAAGGCACGCCCGTTTTTTCCGAATTCCTCGTTGAAATGGTGCGCGTCGTGTAACCTACGCGACAGCACGTTCCCTGTTCACCGATTTCCAATCACGCGTAAACCAGAACGCAACGGCTCGACGTTACATTCGGGGGATTCGTTGATATTTCACGAACGAGATGTTTCCGGGATTTTGTGCCGGGACGATACTGCCAGTGTCCGTTATTGACAACGGAAAGACTGCGAGCGCCAACTTTCGGTCGGCCGCTACCGCTGCGACATCTGTTACTCGGCGAGCTGTATACTTCTCATCCAGCCAGCTGCATTCTCCTTCCATCTGTTGGCCGTTTCAACCGTCTGGCTTGGGTTCTTCCACAGACGAGGGCACGTGAATAGACCGAGCATCTTACCATTTCGTGGCCTGTGACCTGAAATACCGACCATTGTAAAGAATCATTGGTTTTTTTTTTAGCGCACTCTACGTTTGAACACAAACGTCTGTGGCCAAACAATATTTGTAGGAATATTTCTTTGATACTTTCAAGCATTTGTAAAGTCGAGTTAGCAGGATTCATTTAGACTCTGAACGCACTAAAATAAGTAGGAAACGTCATATCTGATTATATTGTTGAAAAATATATTTCAATTAATCTTTTTCTAATACCTTTAAACACAGATGTAAATGATCAAATATATAATGAATTTTTCATCCCAAGTTCCATCAATCGTTGTTATATTCCTTCATTGATGGAGCATCATTCAATTCAAGAAATAAACAGATGCGATACTGTTCATATTTTTTTATTTTAATTCTCATCAATTAGCAGACTGCACTGTTGCGGTGCAAAACCTGCCTAAGTCGACAGGACGTGACATGAAAATGATAAGGAGGTCCTAGAACTCCGAAATCATGGGACAAAAACGTACATTGTATGCAAGATCGTATTTATGTACCTCTTCTGTGATCGGGTTAAAGGTAAAAGCAAAACTTCATCAGAAAACGTAACAAAAATACCGGGACGTCGCTGCAAAAACATTGTGAGCAACTTCGCCTCGAATTCGAACTCGTTTTATTTTAATTCATTTGCGTATAAAACGTAATAATAGTGTATCATCCGATTTGTCCGACGATTGGTCCTCGTAGCGACTCTTTATTGGTATTGAGAAACGCGCAATTACTTCGGAAACACAGCCTGCCGAACTAACGTCTTTAATTCCTCCAAATCCACATTGTCGCCCGTTTCAAATCGATCTGCAATACGTTGCATTCTGAAAAAGCAAAGCATTTCCAATAACGGCAGTTCTTTGCGTTCTGTTCACTGAAAATTTTACGTTATTGGTTTTACCTGTCGACACGAGAATAAATACTGGACGGTAATTGATGCTGTTTCATCTTCTGAAATATCTATAATTCGACGGAATTGCAAATGCGTTACCGAACGTTTCGTACACTAATGCTCTAATTATTACCTCCAGTCCTCGTTTAACCACATCTTCGTCCAATTCCGCGATTCTCGCTACGTAATGTGCGAAACTACGTGTTGTACTTCCGTTGGTCAATCGATAGAAAAACGCCAATGATTCGTCTTGGTCGAACGCGTATTCGAATGTCTGTATTTAAAGATGAAGAATAAGAAGAAAGAAAAGGGATAACTGTCGACAAAAGTCAGTCACCTGAATCTCGATTAAAGATGTTTGAGGGAGTAACGTGAGTACGCTATAAGCGTGCGTGGCGAGAAACACGTGAGGACAGTTCGAGCCTCTTTCAGCGAACGTGTTCAGAACGGCAGCGACCAGCGACAATCCACTAATTTCGCACGTTCCCCTGTCCAATTCATCCGATATTACGATGGAATCTGGCATGGATGCGCGTAGAGCGACGTTTATCTGAAACGCAAACTCGTTTCACTTCGTTCCCTTTTCGATCTAGTCTTGGGAGAGATTTCGTTCGCCTACCTGCCGAAGATTCTGTAGAAACGAACTCGCGTTCAGGCCAATGCTTTCCGTGTTCGACATTTGAGTCAATATCCGAGACACCGTTCCTATCGTCGCGGTTTTTGCAGGAACGTAGCAACCTATGTGAGCCATGAATATTACAAGTCCAATCTGTTTCAAATATACGCTTTTGCCGCAAGAATTTGGCCCCGTTAAAACTTTGATCAAGCTTCCGCCATTCCCCGAATGTATATCGTTCGAGACGAACGTTGTCACACATTCCATCAGTGGGTGTCGTCCTTCGATCACGTCTATGATCTTTGATTGGGTTATATTTGGTCTGATGTAGTTGTAATCTCGCGCCACTTTATAAAATACCAGTAAGCTACAATGATCGAACAACGCTTGTTAACAACCGAATTGTGCCTGTTGTAATTACAAATACCCACGTGTCCAATTCGGCGCAGAGTTGAATCGTTCGTAAGATTGTTCCCGTGTGCTTTCTCATGTATCGTATTAACTTCTGTAGAATATGGTTTTGTCGAACAGCGATCTTCAATATGATGTCGCCTACAGTTTCGTCTAATTCTAGAATGAACCAACTAAATGAGAATAAATCGAACTTCTCAAAATCGAGTTCATTGTTCCTTCGTTCGTCGAAGCGAAACAGCATCACCAACCTTTCGCCGAAGAACTTTTATAGTAATGCACTTGATTGATGCTGAATTTAAATTCTAAATTCGGAAAAATTACGTCTTGCGTCGGTGGAGTCGGATTCCATTTGTTTATCGCTAATACGTAGCCAATATTTGGCAAGTATAGCATGTTGCAACCAGCAACGCAAGACGGAAGATGCTCTCGCATATCTTTCTCTGCCATTTGCGTTAGCAGTTCGGGCAAAGTGCGTCGTACGTGATTTACTGCGAATCAAGGTATTTGCAATTACGATTTACGATTCGTAAAAAAAAAAAAAAAAAAGAAAAGAAAAAATCGAAAGAAAATCGTTTTCACGCACGTTCGTCCAGCAAAGGGTCGACGTTCGCTTTAACTACAAGCTTCTTTTCCCGTCTACTCTCATTAAAATCCACTATATATTCGATAAAGTATTTGATGTATTGCATTTCGGTCGTTATGCTTTCGGCTATTTGCTTGAATAATTCGATGCTTCCCGCGTAGTCTTCGCATATGTCCGCGATACAAATTACATTTGAAATAGTCTGAAAGAAAAGATGAAACAATTTGATTGATCGGTTAACTTTACGAGACAACCGGATTCCGTATCCTAGTAACAGAGAACCAAACCTTGTGCAATTTATACCAATTGGATGGCTTCGCATCTGGCCCAGAACAACAAGCGAGTACCGTATTGGTCAAACGATATACGTGTCTTAAGCAGGACGATAAATTTTCAATCACGCTCTCGTTATTTGAATTCAGGAAGAATTCAATCGCGTTTAATCGTTGTTCTAGTAACGCAATGTTTCGCGTCGGATGATGCAGCGTTTTCCTGAATACGGCGATAAAAAAAAAGAAGAACTTAAAATGTACCTATACGACATTGCGAACATGTACAAGGATTTATATATGAACTAGATAATTCACCACAGAAACTGTACTCCCGGCCTGGAATGACAGTAACGATTCAGTAGCGAGAATAGGCTGACTCCTTTCATCGTTGTGACCATTTTGCCAAATTTAAAGAGACTTGGGTGATCCCTGGCTTGAACGATATTCAGCGCTTTGTACGTATCGTCGTCCACCATCACTAAATCTTGGCTTTGTTCCGCAAAGATATAATCGAATAGAGCGGAGAAATGATGGATGATGACAGAGTCTGGGAAGAAAGAGCGACTTGGACTTACAGGTTCAGGTAATTAAGCGACACGAAGGAAGGTTTCCCGGATGGATCCAACGCGATGTTGTTCCAGTGTTTGTCGACGAACAGCAACAGCGAACCCAGCGCGTGTATCATCACGCAGCACTTGAAATTGAGTATGCTGTTCAAAAAAGTTAGCCGGTCCGCGTTGTTGGCGTTCTTTGGCTCGAATTCGAGTCGAAGACACTTCACCCTGTGACAGCATCGTTCGTAGTTGTAATCTTTCTTGCAGGTCGCTTTCAAGACGGCGTTGCGCACAGTCCCGAGTGAATCGCAAGAATTCGTTCCGTCGTTCGACGTCGACGGCATTAACATCTTTTTTACAGCGTTCATAAAAACATTGGGCGCAGAGCCATTCACAAGCACGTAATGCGGCAAACATTGCTTGTACAGAGCTCTCGTTACGTCGAAATGTTCGAAGTTGTCCATCGTGTCTTCCAAAATGAATAATTCAGACGTGAGAACGTTGTAATAGGCAGCGCCAAGACGATTATTGTTCCAAATCATCGATAAAATTATCTAGGGGAAAAAAAAGGGATGAAATACCTAAACGAAACTAAACCGGTGTATTTGATAATAACGGAATGAGAAGAAAGAGTAAAAGTTGCAGTGAGACGTGCCTCGTCCATGTCTTCGAAGACAACTGTGTCGGCCTCTTTTGGATTAGTCGCGTTATTACCGATTTTCGGTAATGACAATCTTGCCAGTTTGCTGGCCGGCGCTTCTTCGTCCTCGTCGCTGCTCTCCGATATTAGAGATTCGAACTCGGAGCGTCTTTGGAAGGGAAAAACGTGAGAAAATGTGAAAGGAAGAAAGGGAACACGAGAGAATGGAAGAGAGTGGAGAAACACAATGCAAGTAAATACGTACATTAGGGCACTGGATGGTGTAGTCGTCCTACGACTAGTTCTAGATCTTATGCTGGACGAATATTCGATTATACGTGGACGATTGGTGACCACGTCGTTGGTTCGTTTCATTTCACCAGAATGATCCATCGTGATGAGAAATGAACAAAGAAATTTGAATAGCGAACTGAGAACGAGGTATCCCTTAAAGCGGTTACGACTCAAGTGTCTCGCGCATGCGCGTCAAATTTGAACGAGCGTGGCACTGCAATCGCCGCCATATTTGAAATCGGGAGGGGAAAACATGACGTCAAAATAAGATGTTATTTTATTTGATTATGTTACATATATACACCGCGTTATATACATAATAATAATAATAGCAATAATAATGATATATAAAGTCGTAGTAAATATATATAAATTATAAATTTTACACGATACTGTCGGTTTTGCTGTGAAAAATGTTGAGTAGATGGATTAAGGAGAGGGGAAATTAACTGGGAATTGGTGGAGGTGAATGAGGATTGAAAGAAATCGGCCTATATGCTTTCTGTTTCGTAAACGGTTGTACTCCGCTTAGTATAAAATCGTGGGTGGGATTCCTTGGGCGTTTCGTTGGTTCTACCGGTAGCGACAAATCTTCCTCGGATGTTGCTGCGCCCACGCTTCGCACTGGACTACCGGACCTGCTCAACGTTCGTTCGCTGTTTGTCTTCGTTCCAACTTGTCTCGCTCTTAGCGTTCGACGGAAAAATCTTTCGAACGACTCGACGATTCGTGTCCTTGGCTAAGCGTTTTCAAGCTTCAAATTGCGAATCGCGAGATCGCGATCAAAGTATTTGCAGCAAGAAGGAGGTAGCTCAACTTTTTTTACATTTAAAAAAAAATAATGTGAGCTGCGACAAATCGCCATAAATTGAAATAGTACTTGCTTTTTTTACTAAAATTATCTATTAAAATTGTCCGAAAGTTGAGTTACCTAATGCAGCAATCTCTTCAATTGTAAAATGTAAAACGACGCGTATCGATCGATCGTTCGAACGCTCTCCCTTCGAAAGCGAGTCGTTTTAGCGTCGCGGATCCATGCACGATATGAACTTAGCTTTTACGAAGCGTTGTTAGATGACTAGAGGCGTTAGGATTATTTCTACGTCATGCTCGTCCGTGAAAATCTGCGCGAAATGTAAAAACGAGGAGCCAACGACAATTAGAAATCGTGAATGGAGCACGAATGGAAATAGGAACGAAGCAAGAACAGAAGGCATCGTATAAAAGGTAAAATAGGCGTTCCGGTACGTTTCATTAAGAGCTCCAATACCATATAGGTATCGTGTGCTATATTTAAGGTCTACATCAACACGCGGCAACGACTTTACACGAATGGCGATGAAAACGTTTCTCGACGCTTTCGATTCACCGAGAAATCGAGGTTCCGCGTGCTCGAACCTACCTAGGTCGAAGAGGTTTGCTCTTGATTCCGTTCTGTCTGGAATGTGGCCTGGTGTTCGGCTGCGAGAGCTCGCTGTCGCTACTGGCGAAAGAGGTTTTAGTTGCCACAGTACCGTGCGCGAAATCTTTCCTATAGGAGAAACGAAACGTCTTGGGTGAGGCACGGGACCTATGTCGCGATATTTATTTCGTTTATTTCACGGACCCTTTTGAAATACGTAAAAAAGGAAAATATGCAGATATTACTAAACGATACCGATGTGATTAAATTAAAACAGTTACCTGTAATTATCGGATTTTGGGGTGGAGTTGGACGTAATCGGTGGCTTGCTAGGATGAACGTTCGCGTCGACGAAAACTGGCGAACTTTTCGGAATGTCGCAAACCACCTTTGGATGAACGGTGGTTTGCCTGTGATTGTCCAAATGATTGGAAGTGTCCGGTGACCAATCGTAATACTTTGGCCGATATCCTTTCCGCTCGGCGCGAGGCTGTTTCGTGGAATCCGAGTCACGTTTGCTGGCCGTGATGGTGGACGAATTGCCGATCGGCAACGAAGTCGGTGAAGACGCGGTGGATGAGGGTGCGCCGTCCGGATCCGCGCGGGACAACTGCGAGCCATCCCAGTCGGTAGTCGGCAAACTACTGCAACAACAAATGTTCTCGAGATACGGAGTTGTAGCACGATAGTCTGGCTAGCTAGCTAGGTCAATTTATCATTGAACTTGGCAAAATTGCAGAATCCAGATGAAGAGAACAGACTGATAAAAAAATATTTGCCCAACGATGTTGAAATTGAAGAGATTCAATCTGAAAGTCGGTCAGAAGTCAAAATCGGACATGCTTACTTGAAATTCTCCTCCATCTCTTTGAAAAGGCGCAACTGTTGCCTGATATTCGCCTTCTCTTTGGCACGTTTTCGCTGGAACTCCTCCTCCACTTTACGCATCGCCTCGAGTTCACCCTTTCTCTGCCGTTCCTTCGCTTCAACTTCCCTCGACAGCTTCTCGGCTAACCGCCGTCTCTCTATCTGTCTGACTGTTGACTGGAATGTGAATCTTTTGCTCCTTGAATTAGTTTTCCTTTGGGGTTTCGCCACTTCAGTCGCGTCGAAGCTGGAAGGATGCTTGGAATTCCATGGATTCGCTGTCCCTCGCTCGTCGTTCGAAGAAGGCGAGAACATTCTCCTTTGCTTCGGCTGGCTGACATTCTCGCGCGATTCGGCACAAGTCGAGAACTGGTTAACGTCTCTGGAGTCGTTGACGCGATTTTTCGAACTTTTGCATCGTCGTTTCGACACGTTGCTGACTTTAGTCTCTTCTTCGTCCTCGCGTTCGTTATCGTCCTCTTCTGCTTCTTCTTCCCTTTCCTCGTCGTCTTCCTCCTCGTCTTCTTCACGATCGTTCACCTGTTCAGTTCGTTCTTCGTTGCCATTGTCGTCGTCGTTGCCATTTCGTTTGGCATTCTTCGACGTTCTTGATCGGAAAGGCGTAATTTCAACGAGACAGCCGCTCTGTTCTGCGGTATTTCGTTCGCAGCTGGTAATCACCGTGCAATCGGTAGCACCAGCCTTCTTACCCCTCAAATTTTGCCCACGATGTTTCGTTTCGTTCATTTCCGGCAGGTACATCACGTGTCCACCAGGCGTAAGGTACGAAAAAGACGGAGGTTTCATGATAACGGGAAAGTCATTTTCTTTGATCTTGGCGTGATCGCGTTTGATTCGTTCATCTTCGTCTTCTGGCAAATCGTCATCGACGATATTGTGGTCCAAATCGTGATCGTGATCGTGTTCATCGTCGTCGTCGTCGTCGTCGTCATTGTCATTATCGTCGTCATCGTCGTCGCTACGTCGTTGGACACGTCGAGCGTCGCGATCTCGATGCAGAAACGGTCTCCAAGCAGACGGTGAGATTCGCGTTGCTTCGATGCGGACGCGACTGTGCTGCAACGAGGTAGGAGCACTGGTCGATAGTAACCAGTTATCGTCGAGGAGGTCGCGAGTACACTTTCTTTGATGCTCGTGTGAGCCTATGCCGAATGCTCCAGAAACCGACCTCTTGAGCTTCTGAAGGGAATTGAACGCGGACGCTTCCCTGGTTTTAGTTTCCGGAGCGCAGAGACACGTCGTTCTGGCTTCGTCTCTGGGCAACGATAGAGAGAAGACGTGCGCTCGCGGGGAATGGTATTTTAACGGTGTGGACAAAGGTGGTGGCGAATCGACACCGGCGTCGCTACTCGATTCCTCTCCTAAATCCTGTTGCGGCGTCCATGCCGGCCTCGTTACTGTCGTTTTTATCCTGTTGATCGTGCTGACCTCGAAGGAGTCCTCGTTGCCGGCACCGGCATCACCCGATATTCCAGAATCTCCGGACTTGTCGTGCCAACTGCGAGGCCCTAATGACAGCGGGAAAGGCGGCGGTGGCCTCGAAAGCCGCTCTATTCGCTCCTCGAACATCACCTAAAGCAAAAGCGAACACACGATTACTACGATGACTATTTGCACATTTGGTGCGTCTTGGTGTTAATAAGTATCTCGTATATTTTTGCAACTACGAACCGGAACTTCTTCACTGGCGGTGCTCATACTCGGGCCCGGCGTTTCCAACGTCGAGAGTAACCTCCACGCAGCCGACGGTGAGAATCGCGGAATTTCCAACTGTTTCTTCGGCAAGGTCGGACGCAGTTTCAACGAGATATTTTCCACGACGCTTCTTTCCTGAAACAAAAGCATCCAAATGCACGGTCGATTAGATAGTTCGTGAAGCGAAGAATTCTTTTTTATTTTTGCTATTATTATTAGCATTTGTTCGATGAGAACAGAGAAAAGAGAACAGACTCACATTATCGTCCGTGTCGTCGGTAGCATCCGCGATAAAGGAAGCTCTGCCGTCTCCTCGATCACGGTTCAGAAGTTTCGCCTCGGACTCGAGGATCGCCTTTCCTCCAGGATCTTGATCCTGATGGTTGCGAGACTCGGCGATGGAATCCTCGTTCATACCGAAGTAAAAAGTCTTCGGTGTCATCGAGGCGAATCTAGAAATCGAAGGAGAAAACGTTAGATTACTAGACTACTAGAATCTGTGAGAAACAACTTACGCTTGATCCTGTTCTCCCTCGGATCGTTCGTTCGAGACGGGGTTGCTCGTTTCTCCGACGCACTCGTTGCCACGCGATCGCAGTTCCGAGTTCCCCGTTATCGAGACATCAGACCATCTCTGATCAAGAGGTCGCTTCGCCGAAACGATCTTCGACCAATGGTCGTTCCGTCTGCCAGGATCCGAGTTCTGTTGCTGCGAGATCCGTCGTGGTTCGACTGGCTTAGGGCTCTCGACAGCATCGTTCGCGGAACAATCCAGCAATGCCGGACTCTCGTAAGTTCGACGACGTTGGTTCGACTTGGCGGTCACATCGCGGCCGACACCACCGTCAGTTTTACGATTGCCGTTTTCAGAATTATCGACCGGATCGCCGCTCGGCCGTCGTTCCACTGATCGATCTTCGTATCGCCCACGTCGATCTCGTTCCTTGCTATCACCGCGACTCTCTCCTCCTGCATCTTCGATCTCGTTACGTCGACGACTCGGTGGTCGTCGATCAACGCAACTGATCGTCGCTTCCGTATCGAAACGACTGGCTCGACGATCGTGCGTGGGTTCGTCGAGAACCGTCTCGCTCGAGTCCAACTTGTCGCGAACTCTCTTCGCCACTCGTATCAACTCCGCTTGAAACTCTGGGCTGCTCATGCTCCTCTGAAGCGTGTTCTTTCCATGATCCTGAGGATGCCTGGCACCGTGATGATGGCGATGGTCGTTGACGTTCGTCGAGCGATCGCGATTACGATCACGCCGATCGATGGACAACGAGTCAGCCGCCGCCACTTCGGTGTCGGAATGTTGACTCGTCCGTGAACGAGGAGCGCCGTTCCATTGGCTGGACGCGTCGTCGCGTTGCGAAAGTTTCGTCCTCTCGCGATCGTGATCAAACGACGGTGATAACTGCCAGCTAATTTGGGCTTTCTTCGATTCGGCGCGAGTTTTGAACAACCGGGATCTCCGCGGCGGCGGTTGAACTTGGTAACGATGGTGATGGACGTGAGAATGAGGATGCGAGCGGGAAGGGGCATGCGAATGGGGATGGTAACGGGTGTCGAGGTCTCGCGAGGAACGAGATTCGCTGGCGGGCGACGAGCTTCCGTGGAGATTAGAGGAGACAACGGCGGACGATGGCGGAGCAGGGGCTTTGTACTTTTTCCTAGCCCTGTATCCGCTTTCAAGCCGGTCCTTCGTCTCCTTGCCGTAGCGGTAACAGCCGAACGACGACCGAGCGGTCTCCTCTGTGTCGATCGAGTTGCTCGCTGCTGGATCGGAGCGGCTAGGCATCGAAGGATAGACAAGCTCCGGAGAACAGCGAAGATCAGGCTCACTGCCGAATTTCTTCAAATTGGCGGAGCTCGCGTTTGCCTCCGACCGACTCGAATCATCGGCGCGATAACGACAGCAGTGCCGGTCGATCCTTCTTGAACAAGGTTGGACGAGGTTCGAGGCGGAACAGCTTCTCTCTCGAAACGGAGGCTCGTTGCATGTACGCTGTAACAGAAAATGATTAAGGCTGATTTTCGTTATTTTACTTACTTACAGCGAGCCAAGTTTTTGCAGCGTTACTGTAAACGTGAGTTGCCATTTCGAGCGTGTGTAATTTAATTTATTCAGTTGAATAGAAAGGAAATACGGATAGCATGCATTAACACGTTAATTCGCAAAAGATGTTACCATTTGTTTGATGACATTATCTGTGCACTAAAGTTCTAAATCTATGGATTGTAAAGGACCGAGAGTTAACCCCGTTCACACGTTCTGTTTGTAATATCAATCGATAGTTAACGAACCTAGATCTGAGAGTATTACACGAAAGAGACTTAACAGTCTGACAAAGAAGATGGAAAATTGTTTAACCATTTGCGCTGGCAACTGATTGCGGACCATAACGAGTGGCCACGTCGCTTTCCTTTTGAACTCGTCGGTATGATATCACTGGGTTATACTGAAATATACTTGAAAACTGAGAAAATATTGCAATTTTGTCCTTGCATGGCACGTCATTCCAGCGCAAGAGGTTAAAAGTGGAGGATGCGAAGCAATTTGCTTTACCTTGGCAAGATCGCGGGACGACGCGAACGTGGGTGCTCTCCGACCGCTGATCGTTCCGCCGTTGTGTATGATGTTTCCATTATCGGTAGCGCGTAGCCTTTGATTCGGTGGTTCAGGAAGAACCTTACGCGCCGCGGTTGGCTGCGATCTGTGCCTCGTTATCTCCCGAGGGAACGACTGGGACCAACCTCGGCTCGCTCCATCTTGCACGCTCAACCCGTTCGAGCACACGGACGCAGCCTGCTGATCCCGAGTGCTGCTCCCATTATTGCCCATCTCGAAGACCCTACGGCGTCCTCGCTGCAGCTATGGAAACCGCCACCGGTCCTCCATCGTTCGTGCATTCGTCGCTGCTTCCGATTCTCTGCAATTTCATCATACTCGCTTTCTTTTCCCATTCCTTTGTGCTGCCGATTTATCATATATATATATATTCCTGTCATTCTGTTTCGCAGGTCATCGCGAACTTAACTTGAACACCGTCGTTTATTCGTAGGATAGGGAGACCCTACTCGTTACCCGAGGGAACGTTGCTCGTCCGTGGAGACGAATCAAGCGAATCGAAGAGAAGACTAGCCGCGTTCGATACCAGTGGTAACGGTTTTTGCCTAACGGGTTCGAATTGGTGCGAGAGGCTCGATAAATCGACGGACGGCCCGATAGATTGCGTGCACATTGCTGCATTTTTCGGAACCGATCAGCTCGATCTGGATTGATCACGTCGCGAACAAATCAGCGCGAGAGATAGAATCGAGGCCGGCGAGGAGTGCGCCGAGAAATGAAGCGCTTTCAAGTCTGCTTTTGGTTCTGATAGCTCGTGATAAATATGTTGGTAACTAAGAGAATGTCCTTTTCCCTGATGGGTTAGGTTTTTATCCGATCGACGTACATGAATTTCTTTTTATCCGTTGAAAATTTGTTGTTCATTGATGTTTCGTTATAAGCTCTACTAGGCACAAAGCGGTAAGTTTTTGGGGCTGGAAAAATAGTTATAAATTATATACGAAATATAAATATATATTAAGGAGGACATTTAGGGAATCATTCTTCTTTTGAATCGTCTGCCTCTCTTTCTGCAAAATACACAGGCGATTTATTATTCTTCATCAATTTATAAAGTTTCGGTAACCAATATTCGGAGTACACAATCATACACGAGAGTCTAGTTCAACATCATGGCTTCTTAAGGTATCATTACGTATAGTACAAGGATAGGTTAAAGCATGCAATACTAGATGTAAAGGATTAAAACGGAAAACAATATGTAAAGAATAATGTAAGGCACTGAGGTCTATTTCTAGGCCGAGAGGCTGAAATAAAGATTCATTCATTCATTCATTCTTAAGATATCATTGTAGAGTTATTTTTTTCACAGAAAGAGACGAAATATGTTTATTGCAGGGGTATTGTTTCTAGGATGGTCAGCCCTGATCATAAGTTACCAAATTTAATTCCACAATCGAGAAATCAGAAAACAAGCGATTTTTTTCGGTCAAACGCCTTGTAAGTCAAGTGTTTTCGGCTGAGACAGACATTCCCGACGTTGCATTATTGCGTAAAAGCGAAGAGAAAGCTGCGCCGAAAGGCATTCTCGTCGTAACGCTTCCTCGACCTTCGCTCGTTCGGCCGTTCATTTTATTATACCGATCGCCGCGTATATATTCCAATTAGCTCGGTGGTTAATAATCGACAAATCGGGCACGTATCAAAGATAAAGAGAACGAAGGGGAGAGAAGCAGCGGCACACGGGTAAATCGGATCGAGGTCGCGGTCCACGTGCGAAAAAGAAAGTCCTCCAGGAGAACGCGGACAAGTTCGATCTGGTATATCCGGTGAGAGCAGACAAGTCGCGACGTTAGCCTGTTCTCTCTTCGCTTTCCAAGCCGCGGATGCGTTCCATCATCGAAATTCGATGGACGGAAGAGTATGTCCACAATATGTTCAATATTCCATCAAGAAGTCACTGACAATGAACAACATCACATATCGTGCGATTGCATAGTTAATCACAGACATCTCCCTTGATACGTAATACTGTAGTTTAATTTCTGTTTCATTTCCCTTCGTATCCCTGTGTTCAAACTTCGCCAGCGTAACAAAAACGTCTGCAAACGCTTCGTTAACAAGTTATAACGAAAATATGACAGTACGACAAATAGAATCAACGATGAATTGGTCGACAAGTCGACAAGTCCTGACTTTACGTCTTTAGATTTCTACTTATGGAGGACATTAAAAGCAAAAATTTACAAGAATTTTAATTTATTTACACGGGATAAATTAACTGCAAAAAATCAAAGCTACGCGCGAAGGAATATTGGATAAAATTCGATCCGTCATAAAGTTAATAATACATTGATTTTAATTTTATTTTTCACTTTGAAGAGACAACGCACTTCATAACGCACTCCATAAGTAACGTGTAGCTTTGTGTTTTATATTTTTGTTGTAACTTTTGTAATGGCATTTATCTTCGACACGTGAGTGGCGAAGTTTGAACATTAAACTTCTGTCATATACGACGTACACATATATTTTTCCCCCCCTTATTACTCAATTTGCCACTAAGCTAATCAATTGTGTTGAAGGGTTCTATTTTAGCAAAATAAATATGCGAAAGGAATCTGAATAAATCAATCTAGAAAACGGAAAGAGACTGGAGAACAGATGGTCGATTCCGGACGGTAGCACGGAAACTGAATCGATCGATATCGCGCGTTCTCCCGTGGCCTATTCCTAGCTGAATCAACGGAATGGAACAAAGGGGAGAACGATAAGAAGGAGAACGACGAAAGGAAGCGAAGTGGAGAAGAAGGAGCGATCGTTTCGTCTCTGACATGGCAAAGTTGATCGTACAGGTACGACGATTAGTCGTGGATCGTTAGCTCGCTTCACGGAACACGAGTCGTTGGCCGAATAGTTGCACGATCTTAGGCCGATGTTGCGCGTCGGACCTTCGCCTCGATTTCTCTCGTAACGGTTCGAATGCCGTATGTATTACGCTGCGCTGTAATCGACCGTCCGATTTCCGTATTTGCTAGTATGTGCGCTGCTTCCTCTTTCGTCGTTTCGCCGCAAAAATTCCTTCGACGATCGTTTCCGTTCGTCCAACTACATACACGCAATACACAATTTTTCATTGGACGTTTACGAGTCTACAATGGCTTGCGTAAACGTCGAACAAACTGATACAATGTCTGGTCCAAGAATAGACGAATAGTTTACTTGTAGTTGAACGAATCGGAAATCGTTGACACTATGCTCGTACGAACGAAATTTGGGACAACTTAAGGTCGATCGAACTTTTAAAAGCAGCTTCAGTCGGTTTGAACATTGAACTGTGATCAACTGTGGCTAACGCCTAATTCAAATGCAGCTTCTGCGTATCCAGTAGCTAGCATCGCAAGACGAGGACCATGGAGCGGCGAAACGGAGCAGCAGGCGGCTGATGATCATTCGTTTCGCTGGTGGTACGCGAGGAATTGCTAGTTTATCGGCAGGCGGAAAAGAAATATAGAGGACAAAGAGAAGGGAAAGCAAAAGCGTCGAACGCTATCCAGGAACGAAGGCGAGTTCCACGGAAGGAGAGCGAACGAAACGCATAACCGGTTATCGTTTAACTGCCCGATCGTTGGTAGGTCTTGTCGTTTGCTCGTTCGGTCTACGTTTCTAGTCGCTGGAGTTGCATTCCCGCGCAAAAATGCGATGCGTCTCCGATCGAAACGTCCAAGAATCATTTCAGCTGGGCGTATCCCCAGCCGATCTGGAACGATTGCCAGATCGAAACGCAAATGACAAACGAATGACGACGACTCCCCTGGAACAAGGTAATTTACAAAAACACACTGATTCGCGATTCTCGAGCCGAAAGAAAAGGAAGTAAGGAATGGATGCAGAAGAAGTAGAGGAAGAGATGGAAGGATTCTTAGAAGAGAACGGCAGGATATCGAGAACGAGTACGGATGGGTTTTATATTCGCGAGGCATCTGGGTCAGTCAGAGTCGCGCAAGTGCACTGTGCCGCGCCTATTCCATTCGCACCTGTAGTACGCATGCGTGTCCGCTAGCAGGAGCGCAAAATCGCCGCGGATCGAACGAACGAGCCGTAGGAAGTCAGAAACGAGAGAACGATGGCAAAAGCGAAAAAAAAAAAAAAGGAAAAGAAAGAAAAAAAAAAAAAAAAGAAAACGACGCTCGTTCGGAATTATTTTCTCAGCGTCGTTTCCCAGGAATTTTGGTATGCGGAAGGAAAGCTATGTAGCAAGGTTCGCAGAACGATTGAGCGAAAGGTGGAGAAAAGAGAAGGGAGGGAAGAGCGTGTGTGCGTATACGTTATCTATATGGTGAAGGCAGCCGCGCAATGTACTTACATATACCGGCGAAGAGAGAGCTAGTTGCACGAGAGAGGGGTGAAGACTTAACGAGGGAGAGACGGAAGGGAAAAAGAGAGAATGAGAGACGAGGGGGGGGGGGAGAGAGGGGGAAGTATCGATGCGAGAATGGAAGAGTGCGGAACTTTTCGTTCGGACCACGGAGCGGAGGTAGATGCGATTGGTAATCAAAGGGGTGACGACCGTCTGTTCGGTATTCGGTAAATATTCGGAGTACCAAGAGTTCCCCTACTCGATCCAACTGTCACTTCTACCACCATGAACTTTCTAATAATTATACAATATGCATATACGTGCGCGCCACATATTTCGTCTTCTCGTATCTCTTCTTTTTTTTTTTTTACAACTCTCTATTTGCACTCTCACGTTTCACACCATCGTCATCATCATTGTCAACTTGCTGACCTCGTTCGAGTCGCGATACTTTGACTGCCGTCGCATTATCGGGAAACTAGCGTCAAGAAAAAACCAGGTCAATCGCGCCTTCGCTCGTACGCGCGACTCTTTCATGCGAGATGAGCCGTTCGTTGCGAAATTTCCTGCGTTGCGCGGAATCGCGATTCCTCGCAAGTAAGTACGTACGTGGAATGGGGAAAGTTTCGTAATCATATCTTTTTCGCATACCTCATCCGCGAACGCGATCCTACGAGCATCGTTTCTAATCAGAATCGCGAACTATACTCGTGTAATTCATAGTTCTATTGGCTGACAAAAGGATAGCACGCCAGCGGCGATAACTCAATGCTCAGGATTGTGACGTCCTCGACGCTGAAGGGCAAATGGCAAGAGTCAGCCAGAAGTGAAAGCTGTGTTTGCGCAAAGAACAAACAGCGATGCGTTCAAAAGACCCGAATGATCTTTTTCTTGATATCCCGGGAGAGACGTGGCCGTTTTGAAATCTATCCTTTACCGAGAGACGCCTCGAGTATTAAGAGAGCCTTCGTTAGATTTTGATGTTTGACCGAGGAAGGGAAACGGCGTGAAATTAACGCGCCTAGTCAAACGGAATCGAACGAAACGGAATGGATGAGTAGCAGAATGAAACGAAGCGAAACGGACCGTAATCATCCGCGCATTGAAGAAACGACGAGTGTAAGAAAAGAAAAGAGCCGACAGTCTCTCGTGCGAGAAGTCAACCGCGTTCTCAAGGAAGCGAGGAGGGTAATAGGACCGTCGGCTTCACGACTCGCGTTTCGCAGCTCGTGAGATACTGTCTCATTAAATTGGAAACTACCGAGCGAAAGCTTCGTTAATTCGGCAGGGAATGAAAACCGTGCGTGTACTTACTGTCGTAAGTTATTGCATGTTAGTTGCAATACGAAGCAACTGCGACTGCGCGAATAAACTTGCGATCGTATCGTACGCGCGCGTAAGTCAAATTTTCCTAAAGAAAAGACAGAAAAAGAAAAGAAAACTTTCTTACGCGCCGATCGGACGTCCCGGTGTACAGCTTTCTCGTTCGTAAAACACGCGAGAAAAGGTTGTCGATTAACCTTGGACAGCTCTCTCGGTCGTATTATCCTTAGATAGCCCCACATCGTTGCACCGAACCTGATAAGGTAAACCGGTAAGAAAACAAAACGTTACCAGCAAGGCGGATCGATTTTCTTGTACGACTTGCTCATTTTAATCACGTTTAGGCTGTAACCTAGGGGGAATTTCAGATCGAGAATTGCTCGCCGCGAAAAACAATCGGCGCGCACTTGCAATCTCTCTCACCCGTGTCGCCGAACAAAAATTAAACTATCGCCGAAAGAAATGGGAAATTATTCGGAAGTTCCTCATACTTCAGTACGCTGGCTATGAATCCAGAAAAAAAGTGAGAGAAAACCGAGAACAAGAACTGAGAAAACGTCACGTTGCAGAAATGATTAAAGTGTAAACAAAGCTAGTGGTCGCGGCAGAAGTGCATTGAGCGGGAAGCACCTAACGGGCCAACGTCACGGCGCGTTAACCTTCTTCCGATTTCGCCTATTCCTCCGGGTATTTCTCCCGACTCACGCGACAATATAACCGATCGCGATCGTACAGATTCTGTACGACCGACGAATCGAGAAGATTAGTGAAGAAACCAGCGTATACACAAATTTCCCGCGAAACCGTTTTCGCTCGTTTGTTCGAGCGACGTTAATATCCCTGCCGCTTTCGTTTCGTCGCACAATCAACGAAATTACGCGCATTGTATCCGGGAACAGGGACACGGTTTTTTCCACGAGTATTGTTCCCGATCTTAGAATCTACCGTGTACATTATCTCCTGGGTGATACTCTCATCGTTTTCGTTAACCATTTCGAATGTAAAGACTCTTAGAGTTTCTCTTGCGTCGTGTCGCGCGAAAAGTCAATACGCTCGAAAGGAGGCCGCAAATCGCAAATAGCCGGAATACAAATTCGCATTATCTTCGTTCCCATAATGAACTTCAAGGTTCTCGTTCTTTAAACTACTCAAAAAAGTATCGAACTATAATTCGTTAACGTAAAAATTGAAAACTTCGAGCAGCATGATCGCGATGAAATGAATATATGTTTTTCGTCCATTTCCTCCGAGTTATTATATTTATACTTGCCTTAATTAGCGCGGTAGCGTAGGATACACAGCAGGCAACAGGTAAAAATCAAGTTGCGCGGTATTACTCACTGTCGCGAATATTTCGATACGATACGATACTCCTCTCTTCTTAGAGATCGAACGACGGTTACTGTACGCTGTAGCACACGCGCATTCCCTCGACAGCGACTTAATTTCAAATGTCGAATGCGCGAAACTCGTAATCGTGCTTTCGATATGCGAAACGATTACGAATGAGCAAAACTCGGGTGATGAGAAGCAAACGAGAAAGTAGGTACGGCAACGGGAAAAATGAGGTACAAAGTGAGAATGAGAAAAAAGATCAGTGGGAGGGAGAGAATGGGAAAAATAGTTGCAAAAGTGGAGAGAAGTAGGAAAAAGAGAAAGGAGGAAAGAGGAGAAAAGAGGAAGGAGAAAACAAAGAGCGAAATCGTCGAATTGCACGATGCGTTTAAATGGTAGGGCGGCTCGAAAGAGAGTGCGATCCGCGCGGTCCTCATCCTCGAACGCGATGCGAAATCGGAACTGAGCGACGGTGGCGGCGAGGACGGCGATTCTCGAATCCCCCACCTCTGCGAACACTGGTTAAAACCGTTCTCCTACCATCGCTCGTCTTTCATCTATCTACCAACCTGCCTACTATCTCTCCATCCTTTTCACCTAACCATGTAACGCGTAGCATTGTCCCTCCCCCGACCTCTGTCCCCCCCTTACGTATCTCTTTCCTTGCCGCATTCCTTTCAACGTAGCTTCTATACGAGTGTGTCATGTGACGTTCCTTCTGAAGTTCCAACTACTAGACGTAGCTGTTCGACGTTTCGCCACCTCTTTCTTTCGCTTAAATCGCAATGCATCTTCCGAGTTCCTTACGGATATCTCTAGATACGTAAACGTTATTCTCCTTTTCATCTCGTTTGATCTCGAAGTTAATACGAAACGAACGTAAACCAATTATATAAATAAGTCTTTGTTTTGTAGCCTCTTGTTAGCAACTACCTTACCTATTTACCTTGAAAAGAATTTGCTTTCACATAAATGGATATGATGTCCTGTATACAATGAATGTATAATATAATCTATGATATTTTAACCTTTATTAAACGTTAAATTACATTAACGTTAAATTTGGTTAAATTACGTTTTTAACGTTAAATTACATTAACGTCGATAAGCATTTGCTTATTTAAATACTCGCTATATATTTGAAAGGTAACTAAAATTACTTATGAGGTGGCCAAGTCCATTGATTCGGTGGAGCTTGTTCCATTAAATTTTCCCATGGTTTTTGATTTAACATATCTTGCATTAAAGACAGTTCGCCTCTCGCGCTAATTATTACTTCTTCTATTTGTCCTTGTCCTATCTTTTGTTCTATAACAGCAACGTCTTCATTCTGTAACATCAATTTGAAACCAATACATCATACAAATACACCCTTGCGATTCAGAGATGTATCTAAGAATCATCAAATAAGACATAACCTGTTCTACAATATTTTTCCTTTCTTTAGCCAAATCTTCAACGGCTTTCCTGTAAACATAATCTTTTGGAAAATTATCAGCAACTCGCAAAATTCTATCGTATATTAAACGAAGTCGCTCGCGAGGATGTTCACACACAGCAATTCCTGTTAATCCCGTAGTCTGCGAACAAAAATATTATTAAAAATACATTAATAATTATCGAAATGAATCGTTAATCGCAAAACATGATGAAAAGATGTCAAGATATGTATTATAATGGTTATTGATATGGTTATGTTTTGAATGAGAACAAAGTCATTTCAAAAGTAATAAAAAACATTATCCAATTATTAGCGAGTTAACTAATTGCATCGAGTTATATATGGATACATTACCTTTTTCAGTACTTTTGCCATAATCGTGCATGCACGATCTACTTCAAATAAAGACTAAGTGGTCAGCTTCCAATTTAACCCAACCTAGAAAACCGTATAACCTATTTTCTGTAGTGGTAACACTGTATTACTGCACCACCGCTATCTCGATGATAAACTGTCAACTACACTTGTTACACATTTAAATTGGAAAATTGTGCATTTCCTAAACTTCTTTCTTATTTTTTAAATCGAATAATTTCTTATTAATTTTTCTCACTTCCACATCTTAAGTTTCTTTGTTAGCGAACAAATTTATGAAATTATGGATAAAATTCTTTCTGGACTGCTCTCTTTTATCATGCACATACATATACATACATACACATAAACGAAAGGGACGACGGAATACATAACGAGAATCACTTTAAAGATAAATCATTTATTTTTATGTTTAAAACGATTAAACACGTTTATCGATTAGATTTAGCGACGCGTTCAAGTTCGTCTTTCTTTTTAATCGCGTAAGAATTAGACGAACCTTTGGCAGCGTTGATAAGTTCATCAGCCAAACATTCAGCAATTGTCTTAATATTACGGAACGCAGCTTCCCTAGCACCAGTACATAATAACCAAATGGCCTGATTTACTCGTCGTAGCGGAGAAACGTCCACCGCTTGTCTTCTAACTGTACCAGCACGACCAATGCGGGTAGAATCTTCTCTTGGTCCTGAGTTGATGATAGCAGTCACAAGAACCTTTTGAACCGTTTAAACACACAGTTAAAGACAAACGTATGCAAATATATTTTCATTCTTACATATAGACTTCATATAAATATAACATATTGATTACCTGTAAAGGATTGTCCCCTGTCAACAGGTGAATTATTTCAAAGGCGTGTTTTACAATTCTTACTGCCATTAACTTTTTGCCATTATTTCTACCATGCATCATCAAAGAATTTGTAAGACGTTCGACAATAGGACATTGTGCTTTTCTAAATCGCTTTGCGGCATAACGTCCAGCAGAATGTGGCAGGTACTTTGCATTTTTTTCTTTGACAGCAATGTAATCTTGTAACGACATATCATTCACCTGCACATCGTCGCAATTCCAACGACCAAACAATTTAATTTCTGGCAATTCGGCAGAGAGTGCCACTGGCAAAGTTGTTGCGGTAGGTACCACTATATCATCATATGCTTCTACGTCAGCCATGATTTATCTGTAAAATTACCATTATAATTATCATTAGAAACTTAGAATTTCACACTTGTTTATACATAATAAATTACATAGAAAATGATCAGAAAGAAACAATATTTTACATAGTTATACAAAGAATTCTAGAAAATCTATCTCTTAACAGCGTACAGTATTGAAAATGACATTTATTCTGGTTAAACGTAGATCAACATAATAAATTGAACGAAAATAAGAGATGTAATTTACATAAACAACGCTTGTATAAACATAGTTGAAACGTAAAGTATGACAGAAAATCGTAACAGCACAAAATAGATGAAACCATATAAATGCACAACACAATTCTTTTCTTTCAATTCGATATTTTCAACGTCTTTTCGTCTTTATCAACGAAACACTATAACTTTGTTGATACAAAACGCTGTGTATTCGAATATTGTACACGAAGACGTGTGGCCATGTGGTCGAATGCGTGTACGAATCAGAGCGTATTTGGCTGGTATATTTTGAAGTGTACGTTTTTAATCGTCAACTATCTTCGGTACGTATCCAAAATTTCGATATCATTCCTCCCGGCACAACAAAGAACAGACAAAATTGTCGAATCTTCAAGTCCCTTACCACACAAGTTTCGTTCACGTCTTCCTCGGAACAAGCGTGAACAGGAAAAGGCCATAACACTGGTGGCGCTTCAACCTCTAACTGCCGGATTTCGGCCTACTCTAGTCAATTTCAATCCACAACGAGTCAATTCCCGATCTTTATATTTTATATACAGATAATATAATAGAAGATTTTGCCTGTGTCATTTTCGTTTAGTTTTTTTAATCGATTGATTCTCTGTCGCGTTAAGAAAATGTAAATAGTTTTCAATGTTACAGTATCTCATTTAATCAGCGAGTGTTTACGGCAGTACTGTAAACGCACAAGCAGAGACGATTGGTTCGTGAGTTGCCATTCCGAGCGTATATTTACGAGTAATTCCGCTTAAATCGCGTATTTCGCAGTGAATTTTGGTGATGCTCCGTCCGATTGTCATAAATGTTTTAAAAGTGTAGGTGTGAAACGATTCGTTTTAGTGTATGATCAAGTGTTTGATATCGTGTTTGGGGTTAGTACCGGTTGCCGAATAAACCGGTACATGTCGAATAGATACGTAAGTTCGCGTTAACTGCGAAAGATGTCACTACCAAAAAATCTGGAACAACTTCCGGTCTTTAGAAGGAAACGGTAAGTATCATGTTATTTGTATTTTTATATTCGATTCTAATTTACTTGTAAACGCGATACGGCTCGTTGGTAGTAAATTAATTCGATCTCCTCAATGATAGTATGTATATATGTATAATGTGTATTGTGCGACATACTTATGTTTCTATAAAGCACACGATTATTAAGTAGTAAGATGTGTCATATATACATGTGATATTGTTTGTGAAAATGAGCAATTGATATATTAAAAAGAGGAGTAGGGGGAAGGAGGAAGGAGGAATCGTTGATCATCGATTACCGTTTAAATAACACATGTCGGATATTTCATCTATTACTTAGAATACTTCGTTATGACTTTATCAAGTTAAAGATAATTACTCATTAGTTTTACTCTTAAGTGGATTTGATTTAAAGAGGATGAATATCGAGAATGATTTGCAATACTCTGGATTTTTAATGGATATATTATTCAGCAATATCAATAGGAATATTAAATATTAAAGAAAAAAAAGAAAAAAGGAGAGACAGAAATAAATCATTTTAAATAGTCCCATTTATCAAAACAATAAGTTGGTTAATTCTTTGTATGTAGTTAGCTATTTGTTTGTTTTAATATCTGATTCAGCTTTAAAGCCTGTTATTTGAGGAAGAGATTTTGTCATTGACGAGAAAGGCATTCGTTAAAACCGGTTGTTTATACGCAGTTTACAGGTTATATACGTTCAAGAAACGGACTAAACTGACTATGAGTTAGGATGTCGTGGAATTTATCTTAGTTTGTACATCTGCATCTAATTCGGTTCGGTGCTGATGTTTTTCTTACAATAGAAGCAACGCGGTGAAAAGTAGAAGGGCACCGATAGCCGAATCGTGGGAGGGTTCGAACGTGGGGTGTATCCTAGCAACTTACCGAACCGCTAGAGGGTAGTCGTTCAGTAACGTAGCTACAGATTTTCCTACCTGCTGTATTGACCATGTTATAGACAGTCTGTAATTATCCTTTTTTATTTTCTTTATATACCGACTCAACTGTCCGTTCGTTGGCAACGTTACCTTTCGCCTATTGTTACCTTTTATTGCTGCAATAAACCTGCGTACCATTAAATGTACTAATACAGTACGAAGAGTAACGAAGGGAAACGGAGAAAGCTGTAATTTGCTTTTAGACGTGTTTGTGTGTGCACGTGCACACCGACACATACTTGCGCACATTCACTTGTATCGGAAGAAATAACCTGAGAAGGAAAAGGGAGAGGACCTAAGATAAAGCTGTAAACGCATTTCACAGAAGAGAAACACATTTACCAGGGGATATAGATATGTAGTAGATACAGATATACTATATAGTATATAGGTATATAATAGATACAGGTAGAGAAACACATTTACCAGGGGATATAGATATATACTAGGTACAGATATACTATATACTATATAGGTATGTAATAGATACAGGTATAGATATACGTATATAGTATATAGTATATTGGAAAATATGAACAACATATATCAAACATGGGTTACTGATTTCATCCTGTGTGGTTGTACGATGAATTGAATAATTACTTTTCCTACAAACTTAATAGCATATTAATAGCATATTAATGTTTCAATAATTTATCTTGAAGCAAGAGTTGTAGATAAATTTATCTATCGACATATCGATTAGATATGTAAAACTGTTTATACAATTTTGGGCAATTATATTATTTGAGTAATATTGAAGAGTTTTAAAAAAATCAATAATATATATAAAAATGTTTGCTACTAGAAAACCATTCAACGCATCGTTATCGAGAATTGAAAAATACACAATGTGTTACAAGTAACAAAAATCAAAAAACACAATCGGTTACAAGTATATATTGAAGTAGAAAGAAAAGGGCGACCGATAAAAATGTAATTAGAGGACGCGTAATGACGTGAAGGAGCAAATCCTATAAAGGGAGAAGAGAAAAGGGGTGCGGAGAATAAGGAAAGAGGAGACGCTTGGCTGGAAAGGAAAACGTTAAGTACGTTTCGGACATTTGTACGGAGCAATTAGTATTTACAAAGCGGGTAGTCGAGGTAGAAAGTAAGTTTTGAACCCAGGGGGGAAATTTAACTGGAATAACGGCAATGAAACTACGAAATCGGTGTGCGAAGTAGACGGAAGATATAGGAGTACAAAGGATGTGAGGGGAGGGAGGGGTAAGAAAGATGAGTGAAAAGAGAACCATGCGCGCAAGGGGGTTGACAAGACCACATGCTGCGAATAATACTCTTCTCGCATAGTACTGTTCCCTATCATCTCCTCTGGCTTCTTTCCCACTCTTTTTTATACTTCATACTGTGCATTGCCTTTTCCTTCGTCTACTCTTTGCCCCTATTGCCTTTCGTTCGCGCGTCCTTTCTTTTATCCACATTTACTGTCAGTCCTTTCCAATCAGCTTTTCACCATTATAACGAGACTTCTGCTTCTGCTTTGACTTTTATTTCTGGAACGCTTCAATGCCAAATCTTCACCAAATCTTTTTCCTTTGCCATACCTCTCGACATTTTTTCACGACAAATTGTAATTTCCAGTCAAATTAGAGAGTGCATTACGCTTGATGCAATTAACCCGATTCCCGATTTTTGTTTTCATCGTGTCGAAGTAAATCTTAGAAAAAACGAGCGAGGCTCTTCATTTATTATTGAAATAAATCAGTTATTAAATTAGATGAATTCGAATTAACGCCGCATTTGCAAGTTAATGTTATGAAAACGAGGGGTTGGGAGTAAAATAAACGTAGCCTTGGCGAAGGTACGGAGACGCGAGGTAACTAAATCAACGCAACGTCGAGTCGTGTCGAATCGAATCCAGGGGAGACTCAATTCGTATAATTTAGGGGAGAATCAATTTTTCGAATGAGAACGATCGCATCGAGGAATTCTACATTATAGCATCCGCGAGGATCGACAAGGCCACGCCCATCCGGATATCGATTCGTTGACAACGTTGCTTTTCGCTCGTGGCTGGGACATACCAAACTTGGAACAGCGAACATTGTCGTTCTCTCTAATTCTTCCTTCCGATTTCTTCCGTTTTAACTCCGATCTACTTTTCTTGCGCGATCGTGAATATTTTTCGCGAAGCGAAAACACGAATAAAAAGCCACGGAAAATAAGAAGGAAGAGATCAGAGAAAATATCAAGCGAAAATCTGCATCATGAATTTCCGGGAGAAATTTATCTTACGCTTTGTTTTCGAGTTTCTGTGTTCAAAAATAAAAAATTGCTTTACGCGAGAGCATTTCATAAATCATCGACCATTGTTACGATATTGGTTTCGCTTATCGAAAATAACAACGTTATTGGATTTTGAGAACGTCTGTTCTCTATATATACAACTCTATATATACAACTCTGTTGAACGCAAATAACAACGAAATGAATCCTGTTTTACGAAGTAACATAATTTCGCTCAGTGCACGATGATTTCTTCGTTTTGTTTCGTTTCGTTTCGTTTCGTTTCGTTTCGTTGCATTGCATTCAATCATTGACGTTTTACGAACGAATAACTGTCGAGAGATTGTACACGAAAGAGGGGAAAGAGAAAGGGTAGAGAAGGGGATGGAACAGGAGGAGGGAAGCACAAACAAAGCGTAAAATTTTACCTCAATTTTTTCGAACTCCAATGAAAACTTTTATCTGGAAAGGTATTATTATCTGTTATTATCGTTTTAATAATTTGTTTTTACGGGGAAAAATTAGCTTGCAAATGCTGTAAGTAAAGATTATCGAAATAGTAAGGTACGCACATGTAGACTATACACGCATACACATACACACACATATACGCTTTGAATTGAATCAGTGTAAAAAAAGGCACATTGAAATTTACTCCGCGGCTTGCATTTATTACAGTTTGAAATCGAATGTATAAGTGATATTTGTAGGTATTTGCCATAATGCGATAAAAAGATCGCTCGATCGTTTTAAGAATTTGAATAAATTATAAGTTTTTGCATTTGAAATACTCTGAATTAATATCAATGCATTTTAGTAATGTGGTGTATAACAAAATCGAAATATGAACCAGAAATATTCTCTTTCTTTTTCACGAAGAACTGATTAAATTGGATTTACAATGTATGTTCAGAGATTAGAGTCATCTCAGATGTAAATACAACGAGAGTGGAAGAATAGCAAAGAGAGAAATAAAATAAAGACGGGTAGAATACGGGAAAAGGATTTTCAGAAAAACGCATAATTGCTCGTAGAAAAATTACATTATGAAATTAATTTCGGTGGTAGGTTTGTCTGGCGGTTTGAAAAGGTCAAGTTCCTTTAAAGCTAGCATTAATGGAACTGCTACGTCCGTTTACTCTTAGCCACGAACCACGTCGTACGGTTCATTATGGGAACTAAGAATTGTCGACGAGAAAGAGATGGTACTCGAGAAGAACCGACCGAATGAGCGAGCTTGACTGTGCATGTGTGCGTGGATATATAGAAGAGGGGAGCAGAGAAAAAGCAAAGTGGCGTGGTGTCGATGCTGAGTGGGGAAGTTGTAACGAGGAGAGATATGTAATAGGAAAGAAAGAATAAGAGCAATGGAGCAATGGAGGGAAACAAAATGTGTTCTATATCAGCTACAGATGGGGTCTTGGAGAACATGCATTATGAAACTGTCAAGGATCAAAGTCAATACATATGCGACTACGACGTTAATTCTATCAGTTTGTAAATAACATTCGTTATACAAAATATAAATATCAATGACCGAAAACAAAAAGAAAGAGTCGTAAAATTATCCTAGAAGAATTCCCAGTGAAAATAAAATGATTTCGTACAAATCTTTTCTGGCTACATTTGGCAAATATGATTTCGCTTTTTTGAAATTGGATTTTCTACCAAGTAATAGAAAAAAGAGAATTTTGTTTCTGTGTGTATGTATACATATACATACAACGATCAGGGTTGCTTTTGGTGAGGAAAACCAGGAGAAGATGGTGAAGAGAAAGAATAGGATGAGAAGGAGGAGGAGGTGAAGTATGAAGAGGAGGCAGAGGAGAAGAAGGAGAAGATGAAGGAGGAGTAGTCTTCTAGTTCCTTCGGGCTCCTTCGTGTTCTTTCGTACTTCTCCACGCTCCTTCGGCTTCTTTTCTTCTTTCCGGGTTTTGCCACGCTCACCGTGACACCACACGGCCTTCGGTAGAAGACGACGGAGGACGCCTGTGCAGAACCCTCGCCCTGCTTCTAACGGTTGGCCAGCGCCGGAAGCCGACGACTAGGCGCCCCTTTCTCTATCTTCCGCTTTTTTCTCTCCTATTGCTTTCACAGTTTCACAGTTTCACTTTTTCCCTTCTTTTTCTTAATGCACATTCACATCTGTTTCTACGCGTTAGTTAGGTCCCTGATGCAATCTTCAAAAATCCATCTACATTTCTTAATAGAAATTCTTAATACTTCAAAGTAGTACATGGAGTAGTACTTTAGATCGAGAAGAAAGAAAGATTAAAGATGATAAATTTATAATATGATAACGAGTAAAATTACTATAAGTATAATATAATGAGATATAATACAAATTTGAACGAAGAATTCGTACAACGTGATAGTTATTGACATAATTTTAATTGGAAATTACGAGCCATATACTTTTAAACGTTAAAGATGTAATGATACAAAGATATATAAAACGTAGCGTAATTTTGAGACGGAATAACAAGATATGAAGCTAAAGAAAAACATATGTTTCCTCTTTTTCTATTTAAAAAATAAACCGAGGTAAAACTGTTCGATCAATCAGGAGTCAAGAAGTATTGGTTACTCTTTCGTGAAAGAAGATACCGGCAACGAAAGCAATTGGTACGGTCCTGTCCGAAGTTTGCCGAACAGAGTCGAGGATGGCCGATCTTGGTGGAGGCCCGTAGCCATGTGTTGCGGTCTGCCGTGAGTGCTTTCTGACAAGGGAGGTGCGGTGTCTGCGTTTTTTCTTTACTCGTCGCAGCCCAGAAAATCGGGATTTTTCGAATAAACAGAGTAAGGTACGTGCAACCACGGCACCCTCGGTGTAGTATCGATAAGATTCGAGAGTGTCCAAGCGGAGGGGGAATCGAATATTTAGAAAAGAAAGTGTATATTTCTCGCGCGGCGTCGGCCGAACGAGACGACGAAGAAGGAGCTCTGCTTCGTCTCCCAATGTACACACGGGTCTACGTTCGGTATGTGTGTTTGTTTGTGAGTGTGCACGATCGAAACGGACAGCACCGATCCGAAGCAGTTGAAGACCGGTAGACGTTCACGTACGCAGCCACTGAGAAACACAGAGAGAGGCATCGAGTGGAAACGAAGAAAGAGAGAGTGCGCATGATAATCGTATCCTCGATAGCTGCCAGATAGAGACGCACAGGGTGCTGCGTGCAACTTCTCTCCTTTATACGTTACACGTATATATGCATACACATACGTGCACACATACATATATATATATATACATACGGAACACGTACACGTAGCGCGCATACACACACGCAGACACGTAGGCAAAACACGTACAAACACGCACGCGACGCATGCACGTATTATATTCTTTCGTTCTCACTCTCATGGATGCTCTGTGCTCCTTCCTTTCCCTTTTTTCATCCTAGTGTCTCTATCTCTCGATAGAGCTCCAGCTCGGTGTCTCTCCTCTTGCGTTTGTAGTAGAATGAACACGCGAGCAAACAACAAACGAACGAATGCGCACGGGCATGTTCGGCTCTGTGTTAGTATTAACGTCCCGTTCGTTGTGTTTTGTGTATTCTGCTTGTAGCAAATGTCGCCCGGACGTATCCTGACTGTCCGCAAGTATGGCTGGTTGATCGGGCACGACAATGCCGCTGCCAGTTTTGTAATTTCGCTCTAGCTACACGTTATATATCTTTTTTGTCTGTCCAGAAGTGGAAGAAGAGAAGGAGGCAGCTATCGAATCTGCTATCGGTGCCTGCGAGTGTTGGTCGCGTAAAAGGTGAATTCGTATATACGATGTACGCGTCCTCGGACTTCAGGAAAGTGCTACGTACCGCTCGTTCCTTCATCTTGTGTTTGTGTTTATCGAATGTGAGGAAAAGTAGTGCACGATCACGGTGCGTACGTATCTACCCGCTCGAAAGCTAAAAAGAATCTTAGCCAGGAGAATACAGTGGCGGACGCGTCGTAACATCAGAGGGGGAAAAAAAGGGAGAAAGAAACACGGAGAAAAAGACAAGGTGAAATGAGTGAGCGAGAGTGAAGGTGGACAAGGTACATACAACGTTCATGTACACACACAAAAACACACACACACCGGTTATAGTTAACGCTACTACCGAAAAAGAAGAGGAACGCCGCGTAGCGTCGCATGGATAATCGAGCCTGTACACTGTACACGATGCAAAGTGCGTACAGCAGAGAATACCTGTGTGTCTGTGCGTGCATACGCGAGCGTAAGCGCGGCCGCCTGTGTATTTAAACAGTGTGTATCGAGATCTGGTTGAGTGATCCGTCGTTCCTAGTGTGTTCGTTTATGCGTGATTATGTAGGTGCGTGGGAACGAGGTCGCGAGGTGAATTTACTACGCGCCACGGGACACTCGATGATAAATACCGGGAAATTCATCGCATCTTCTCCTTCGAGCTGGGATTACCACTTGGGATGCAGCACTTTTCGATAAATTGATTACGATCGATAACACAAGACGGTCACCGATGAAACAAAAGAAAAGAAAGAGTGGATTCTCGAAAAGATCAGCGCAAGCTTGTCCAGCCTTCGATACAGGCGCACGATGGTAAGGAGAGCTTGTATTTCCATCGATTTACTCAACATCATATTTCTTATATCCGTACCCTATGTATAAAGTTTTATCTGGCACGTATGCATTCACCATTTGCTGGTGCGTGATGTGTCGCATTGTGTCATTTCGCTTCGTCTTGTCCCGTGTCGTCCTACGTTTTCTCATGTCGTCCCATATCGTCCCGTCTCGTCTCGTCTCGTGTCGTCTTGTTTTCTCTCGTTTCGTCTCGTCTCGTCTCGTCTCGTCCCGTCCTGTCCCGTCTCGTCTCGTCTCGTCTCGTCCCGTCCTGTCCCGTCTCGTCTCGTCCCGTCTCGTCCCGTCCTGTCCTGTCCCGTCTCGTCTCGTCCCGTCCCGTCCTGTCCCGTCCTGTCTCGTCTCGTCCCGTCCCGTCCCGTCCCGTCCTGTCCCGTCCCGTCCTGTCTCGTCTCGTCTCGTCTCGTCTCGTCTCGTCTCGTCTCGTCTCGTCTCGTCTCGTCTCGTCTCGTCTCGTCTCGTTTCGTCTCGTCGCGTTCGCATTCGCATTCGCATTCGCATTCGCATTCGCATTCGCATTCGCATTCCTGTCGAAAGGAATGTCTCTCTGGCACATGATCGTGGAGGCAAAATGATGATGCCAGAGACACGGAGAGACGTGTCCAGGGAATCCCTTGGAGAGATGCTCTTTGGTTTTAATGAAGCGAGACTTAAAGCCGCGAAAAGTATCCACTTTCGAAAGAAGATTTCAAGTTTAGGCTGTTGCCAAACCGGCTGTCGGATATCGCGAGTAAATAAATGCTAATCCTATCTGTTTTCTATTCTCGCTTCGATTCCCATTGTTCTGGATTCTTTCGTGTTGGCTGGTTGTCTTTCAGTCTGCCAACACTACGCCTCTCTTGGTCTTTTCCTCCTTTTTCTGTCTTGGTTGGGGACACGAGACAGATTGACTGGACGGTACAACCAGCTCAAACTCCTCCGGTTGCTCTCTAATCTGGCGAAAGGCTAATGCATGTTATTCAGCAACGAGGGTACAAGGGGAACTTGATATCGACTTTAGATTCTCTCCCTCGAAAAGCCAGCGATGCGACGCGACACGACGCGACGGTGCTAGCACGTTCGCAGTTGCTCGTTCGCTTCGTAAAATACTTGTAATTTCAAGGAGGACACAAGCCGGAGACTCGATCCTTCGTTGCTTCCATGTCGTGCTGTTCGACGCGCTATCAACCGATTAATGGTATCTACTGAATACGTAAACTAACGATTCGTTGACCCTTGAGAAGTATTTTCGAAGATAATGCTAACGAAGATAATTCCAACAGTACGTGAAAGATGCTACGTCCAGTTAAAAAACATGAACGAGAATTATTGTTATACTTGTTACACTTTTACTTTTATTCTTATCGTTTATAAATTTTATATCGATTATAAATTGATAAATTTAAATAATAATGATACATTTTTAGCACTAAATCCGAAATAATTCGGACATCATTCTCCGATAGTAAAGAGAGGAATTGAATTCTTTTCGAGAGAGAGAGAGAGAGAGAGAGAGAGAGAGAGAATGTTTCGAGTGTTTCATTAAAAACAATGATCAAATAATAAAGTGCGTTTTGTATAACAACAACAACAACAACAACAACAACAACAATAATGACAACGACTACAACAACGATTGTCGATAAAAAATACCAGGGGTTTCGCAGTTTGCAGTTTGCAGTTTTCTCGCATTCTAAAAATGCAAGAATTTTTCCATTCTACGTATCCGCTAGGGTTCGCCAACTTTTTCTGCAGAAATTCTTAAAAGGTTGTTGAATATCTCTGTTCGTGTGCTTGGATCGTACGCGCGTCCGTGTACAGGTCGTTTCATAAAATGTCAGCTGCTGTGAAACAAACAAAGATTTCTTTCTTTTGAGTTAACAAAGAAGAATTCTGAATACGCGTGAATATTTCGTCGCGTCTCCATATCGCTTTATTTTACCCGCCTGACGTAGAGCGGCATGCTCGAATAAAATTATTTATTTTATATAGAATGCTTACCGTCGAATGCTAAACGTTCTTTTTCTTTGTACAGAAAATTTAATCGTAACTTTAATCATAATTTTATCATAAATTTAATCATAATAATAACAACGTCGTTATTAGTATAAATTAGTATAATTACTAACTGTGTATGTTGGAAACACATGCATACGTACGTATGTATGTATAATAGCGTTGAAACGAAAAACGAGCGTCGAATGCAATCATCTTTGTTTCGTACTAGCTAGCAGCTGTTTCAAGCGCAGGTATCTTTTGGTTCTTCTCGTTTAATTGTAGCTACAGCATACTCTGTGTGGAACAGGCTGTATTCACGGAACGTATCGATGGAAAATTACGAAAAGGGGCGGACTTATTGAACGTAGCCGCGGGCTACGTAAGAAAACTTCCGATCCGGGTAGTCCATTAAAATCAAGCTTCCTAGAGAAATAATTTTCACATATCAAAATATCAAGACGATCGCTGGAATGCTCACTCGCTAATATTCAAACGGCGGATTCTTGTTATCGAGAATATATTTTTGTTATTCAAAGTAATTATTATTATTATTATTATTATTATTTTCATTATTATTATTATTATTATTATTATTATTATTATTATTATTATTATTATTATTATTATTATTATTATTATTATTATTATT